TCTGTCATAGTAATTCAGGTATTTTAATTTCCTGCCGGTCTAAAATTGGTAAGAGCTAGTCCTAATTAGGCTATAAAACCATTAAAATCAGGCATCCGGCTGTTGGCCGCTATACACCTTCGTACACCCTGCTTGACCGTTGGGATGTCACCACTTGTGAATAAGATCGATACTCGGCGGATGAGCCATTCTTTGACTTTTGAGAATTCTTCAATTAGCTTCGTTGTTTTCATAAGTGTTGATCTTATGCGGAAATTACACTCACCATTTGGGTCATTCTCTAACAAGAAAATCTTCGGCAATTCAGAAACATCAATTGCTTCTCGGAACCCACTCGGCAGAAGCAAATATATCCCATGCTTCTGTGAAGCTTCCACGAGATATTGAACGAATAACTCAGGGTTTTTCAGTTGGGTGATGTCCAGAGCAACGAAGACAGGCTCAAGTGCGGAATCGAGGAAATTCTTTAGCGCCTTTGACGGGGTATAAGAAGATGGGCTTTCGATTGAAGTATAGCCGGAAATGTCTAAGAACTCATGTTAGAAAAGATCTCGGTCGAGTCCGAGACTGGTTTTGCGCATACCAATGGTGTCATCCCAGTCCTCTGGTTTGGGGAGCAATTCCGATGACCATAGATAGGTATGAGGGATCTTTGATTCTCTTAAAATTTCAGCCCCGCTAGATAGAGGCAGCTGCGGTAGGTCTAGGACTGCTTTTCGGAAATGATCGACGACATTGCACACCCTAGAGTACTGTCAATGACTGTCTTTATACGGCTGGATAATTCGAGGGTCAGGGCTATACTTACTCATTCCACGCCGACTCCCAGACCAGTAGATAGGAAATATAGTTCTGCAACTGGTAATCAATCTCACTCCCCGTCGCGATCTGTGCTAGCGGGTGTACGAATCGTCTCGTCGGTGTCCAGGGGCTGTTGGACATTATATGAAGCGGGATGGATAACCGCTCCGCACAATGAACATGAGCGTGTGCAAGAGGTGTTGCGATGATGGCGTTGGTGACAAAGGGCTTGCTTTCGTGCGAGCCGGGGTAGATGCAGGCATTCCAACATTCCTTGAGTGTGTTTAGCAAGACCTTTTTGTTTTTCAAGACCTGGTGCCTGTCAAGGCCATTTGAATCAGGCATGAGGCCAGAATCCCTTGCCTGTTATGTATGAGTTGTTTGTTTACTGCAGTACCGGTGAAGATATGAAGAGGAACTTACCGCGATAGGATGCTCTGGGTCGTTGCTGATGGAGAAAAATTCCAATCCGGCCCTGTGGGCGAGCGATTGGAAAATTGAGTGTGAAGCGACTCGGACTCTGTGGCCCTGTCGGTGGAGTTCCTGGCCAACCAGTATAATAGATTTGATCTCCTCTGTCATGACCATTAGCATGGGTAGGAGTGCCCTCGGCGATGTTCAATTCTTACCTCTGCTTCCTACAAGCATCAAAACAATATCCAGTGGAATTTCATGAGTTCCAGATACGGTCTTCACATCATCAGTGTTTATGGGAAGTAAATCTGAGCTGGAGCTGTTGGCTTGAATTTGTATTATCCGTGGTCGTTGGGCAGGCAATAAAAATTGTTCGATTAGCATAGACGTGCGATTCCCGGCACTTAAATCTATGCTAAAGCGACCGATGTCTATATCGTTGAAATTAGTTAGCACAAGAATTTTCAAATGTGTACTTCTTTCTATCTTGAGTACCTTCGATCAGGATTGATTCCCGCCTTTCATCCCCGGTGGTTGACGGTGAAAGTAGTAGGTCTTCGGAGAATAGAGAGCTGTAGGTGGGCGGTGGTAGCTCATTAGCAATTGAATGGTCGTCCATTTGGCTGCCATTAACAATATCTTCTTCTCTCAGCTCTTGTTTGGAGAACATTTTGCTGAATCTTGGGCGGAGAACTTCAGCGGAAAGATCGCATTATTAAAGATACCCCAGTGGCGTATGGCTAGGCAACTTCTTTTTTTTCTTCCCCTTGAAACTACTATTAAGGTTCTTGACCGTTGATGATCCTTCTAGAACCAATCCACTATCGTGTTGTCTAGGGTTTCTATAGTCGGATCGAATACGAACCCGAACCCGAGACCCACATCTTGTCAAGGTTGCTACTATGCATAGGGTGTGAATATTCGTATTCGGCTTCGGATCATATCGAAACATACATTTGGTCTTTCACAGTAGGAGTTTATGCTATCTTTGTCAAAGTTGCTTCACCATATAGGATCATCGTCTCTATTTCCAAGTTCTTCTCTTTGGTACCTTTATAATATCATCCGGTCTATATAAGAATTCTCCAATCATCAACGGAACAGTCCGAGCGAACAATGCATTTCTGGGGGATCTCTCTTACCTAGAAACTGACTCGGTCTTTTCTTTTCATACTATGATATTGGTATTTTTAGACTAGGCTGTTTTGAATCTGCTTATTCTATATACCCTATGCCCCTTCTCCCCGCATAAGCTCCATATCGTCAAGTTTGCGATGTCCCCCAGAGATAATTTGACTTGGGTGGAAAACCAGGAAAACGATCGTAACCGCAAGCATAAGAGCGCCATCAAAGATATACGCAAAGTACTCATGACTTTGCAAAAAGCCAGTCGACCCTTGAATATACTCGATGACTCGGTAGAGACAACGGGTCATAATCAAAGCGCTTGCAAAATAGAGCACAAGCATATACCGGTGCCAGTTCACCGAAGTAGCCATTGCTGCGGAAGTGGGGTAGTTCGCCATCCGCTTATGAAAGATGACCGAGACGACAACGAAGAAGCCAAAGAAGATGATTTGGACGATCAGGCCGACGATAATCACATCTTCGCCGAGTTTCAACTTGCTAGCTGACTTAGCACTAGACATGATTGCGCCTCCTATGGATAGAAGTTAATAATTGATCCCTTGCGTGAGAGCGATATAGCACTTCTTACCTCCACTTTGAATGAAAAATGACAGCACATCGCCTAGGACAAAGATCTTGGTCAATCTTGTTGCGCGAATGAGCGATCTAGAATCACCATCCACCAGACGTATGATCCGACCAAGAATCATGTAGATCGATGCCGCAAACAGAGAAGGAGCAAGTAGAATAAAGAGACTTTGCAAGGCGTATGGCATTGTCGAGTAATTTGGGGCTTCATGGGCGTTGACTGCTCGTGCCGCATATCCAATGGCTTCAAATAAACCGCCAACGACGAAGGTGATGAAGAATATTGTCTTATGCTTCCAAACGAAGAAGATGTGCCCGCAGATTAGGAAGACAAAAAGAAGCAAGAAAATAATTGCGGCTGCCAGCGAGGGTGTGTAGTTGTAGAGACTGTAACCGGACATTGTGAATGACAAGGATGGAGTTGCGATGATTCAAAGGAGGGAAAGTAACGAGTGATTTAGTGAAAAAATCTTGGGAGAAACGCTCAATGGATGAAACAACTGATCTGGAAATCGAATACTTATTTGTATGCTGAGAGAAATATCGACATATAATCAATACACTATGGAGTTATTTATGGACATTCAAACACTGGGGGATAATGAGCGGAGAATATTTTCTCTCCCAGGCAGCTGCAATAAAATGCTAATTATGGAGCTTCAGAGCTTGTCTTCACAAGCATCAGGCTATATCCAACTGTTGTAGTTCGGCAGAGGAAACTGGCTCCGAAAAGTCCGAATACGGACACGAAGGCCCACTTTCCACATGAGTACGAAATATAATAGTATTTTTTTCTACTTCTATGTTTATGCGGATCAAACTGATAATTTGAACTCATGATAAACAATAGAGTAAGCTGTTGCGAACCGTTAGAATAGTTGTATGTTCGTGGGATAGTTGATTGTATGCCTCACAACAATTGCAAGGTGATTGTCATTAACTAGAATCCACATTTCCCAGAGATCTAGTGTAATTGGGACTCGCATGACAATCCTGGAAAGCCTCTAGAGGTGTTAGGCATCCGTATTATCTTCTTAAACATCATCGTTCCAAGGAAAAAAAGCGGCGCAATGCGAAACGCTCCATATTGCTTGATTCTTGATTAGTATTTTTCACGAGTACTTAAGAAACTTTGAAACCATCTAGTTAGAGGTATCCTGATGCCAGGTTTCAAAATTTGCCTCCAATATTCCTATAATGGTCAGCAATTCTGCTATCATCGTTATCGTGCTCGTGTGTGCCCTCACAGCCGTCTCACTCGCGGCGGGTATATTCACTGTCGTTAACCCTGCCACCCATATGCTATCGGCACCGAACCCAGAGCAACAAAAGTATATGCGAGAAGTCAGAATTAGGCAATTTCGTCAGCTGCGACGAGAAAGAAATTTCAGACCTGAGATTTTTCCAAGGTAAGTACTAGCTCCTACCACACTCTGATTAATCTTACTCTAACAATTTGGCAGAGCAATAGTGAACATTGAAAGCCATCCAAGCCTGGAAAGTACGAACGAGCCGTGAATCACGAGCTTTTTTATTGCAATTGAACGAGTCAAGGAGGTTTATAATGGGGTCTACGACAATGAAGTGTACTTAAAGAGATAATCTTGATACGATCAGAGAACAATCGGTATTTGAGACTTGCGGACGTAAGTACGTTTTACTTGCTAGGAAGAGGCTACTATCTATATACCTTGCATTGCTAGTCTGCTATCAACTCTTTTCTTGGTAAGGCTGAGTGCATGGCGAGTTTTCGTTTCTAGTAGTCCAATGGCTTCTTCAAATCTACTCATGCCACACTAGTTCTAAAACTGCGAGAAAATACTCTTCAACACTTTATTTAGTGTTGGCAATTCCCCGTTCTTTATTCTTCTTCCAATATTGTTGTTCGAGATCACGTGACCCCTACGTACGCAATATTTGTCCCAGCAATAGCTAGTTTCTCTTTTCCTCTCTACGCAAACTCGATATTTTCCGGAGTGTCTACATTATTTGTGTGGTATTCTCGTCTGTATCTCTAACTTTGGCTACAAGGTTAAAGACAAAACTCGAGCATGGCCGGTGGTTTCCTTCCATACCACGAACCTGGAAGTATGTACACAAGCATATACCGATTGATCTCTGCTCATTTCCTCACTAATAAATTACTGCAGCTGTCGACATCCTCATTATCGTTTCTTTCTTCTTTTTCCTTTCCCTTGCAAAATGGGTCTCCGCGACAGTGATCCAGGCCGGAATTATAGGTCAGATCGCCGTCGGCATCATTTACGGAGTACCATTGGCCAATATCCTTAAATATCACTGGCAAGAGACTTTTGTTACTCTCGGATATGTCGGTCTCATTTTGATCATTTTCGAAGGTAGGCGGAAATTTCCTTCTTGCCTGGCTTCTTGGCCTCTTGGCCTCTTGGCTTCTTGGATACTGACGTCATCTATCCTAGGCGGTCTTGGCGCCCGTGTGGACATGCTCAAGCAGAACTTCACTTTGAGTATGATAAGCGCCGCAACTGGAGTTTTATTTCCTATTGGACTCTCATACCTTTTGCTATATCTTGGTTTTGGATATGGTTTGTTTTATTTATCTCAATTCCTACGGTCAACAGCTAACATGGACTAGGTGCGGTCGAGACCTTCATCATCGGCGCATCTCTTTCCGCCACTTCACTCGGTAAGCTATCTTTCCTCGAAATTCGGTTGACTATGTTTCAATTGCTGATAAATATTAGGGACCACCTTTGCTGTGATCAGCTCTGCGTCCGACTCAGTCAACCTCGCCGAGACTCGAGTAGGGTCAGTTCTAGTAAGCGCGGCTGTTATCGACGATGTTGTAGGACTTGTTATGTTAAGGTATGTTACTTATCTGAACTTGCATAAGGTGCGTAGTCTATTTTTTTTTTTTTTAGCTAACTGTCTACCCAGTGTGGTCGCGGATTTGGGCAAACTATCAGGAGGTGATAGTGTCAACCTGGGCTGGCTCATTGGGCGTCCCATAGTGGCATCGATAGGCATGGCTGCCGTAACACCCATCGTCACCAAATGGGTGTTTGCGCCATTTTTCCGAAAGTTCGTTGAATACCGCTTTGCACGCTACGACCATATCTCCAACATCATCCTCATGATCCTTGTTCTTTCGGCTTTTATTGCCATCGCTGGCTTTACTGGAACTTCCGTCTTATTTGGTGCTTTCCTGGCCGGTGTATTTCTTACATACATACCGAGCAAGCACCCCGAGGGACCGTTTGTTGTCCTGAGCCGCGAGGAAGGCGAGCGCGACGAAGATAAAAGCCCCACTTTCATTCATACCTTTGAGAAATACCTGTTAGGACCCCAGCAGTACTTGATGGAACCATTGTTCTTCTCAAGTATCGGATTCGCGATTCCATTCTTGGAGCTGTGGACCGGGGAACGCATCTGGAAAGGAATTGTTTACACCCTCTTGATGGCTTTTGCAAAGGTATAGATACCCTTAAAGGTCGTTCCTCGGCAATCAAACTAACATAGTTATCTAGTGTGTTGTCGGAATCTGGGTCCCCATATGGCAACTCGCTTTGGGGGGTAAATCTGACACAAAGCTACACGAAGAGCAGGAAATACAGGGGCAACAGAAGATCGAGGGCAACAATCCCAGCGATGAAGGCCAAAGCGACCAAGAGAAGGGGAAGACGTGGAAACGGACCTGGCTGGCCACAATACTTTTAGGATCTGCGATGGTAGCACGCGGTGAAATTGGGCTTCTGATAATCGAAACCGGATACAACGAAACTTCATACGTTAGTAATGAAGGCTTCTACACCGGCATCTGGGCGATTCTTTTGAATACCATCATTGGGCCAGTTGGCGTCGGTCTCCTGGTCCGATTCTACGCGCACGAACTCAAGGGGGGTGATTGGGGAGTGCAGCGTACTCTGGCTATCTCGGGCTATGGTTCTAGTGAACATGGGGCGGTATAGCAGCACGTAAAATGTTCACATGCTATCGAGGAAGCTATATAACCGTTTTTGTGTGAAGATTACACGCCAGGAGTTAGCTCGGTGATCCGGACCAATAGCGGAAAACGGCCCGCCTGGGAAAAGGCAAGCAAAACAAGAAATCTCCTGTTAGGGAGAACGGGGAACTTTATAGAACCACGGCCGGGCAAGCACTGGGACTGGTGGCGCTAAACCGAAAGCAACCGTCGTAACCGTCCGATATGGTGTATGCAGTATCGTCGGCGACAACGGGCAATTCAAGCCAATTTCCTTCTCGTCTTGGTGTGGAGAGGAGCCAGAGCTTATTCCTTTGTTATTACATAAATCTTTTGTTTTGATTAGGGTACCGTAAACGTTTTTGAGTTTTGTTTAATTCGGTTCTCTTAGTGTTGAACGCAGCCTGTTTTAACCATTCCAGGGTTGTGGTAACTCTTTTGACAAACCTGATTCTGTGAGTCACTAGACCTATTGGTTTTCCCATCAATGCGGGGGAAGTCCAAACGGTAAACTCTAGCTGAAGCCTGAACGTTGCATTATCCAGTAGGAATGTCCATCCCCACGTCATCGTTCGGCCCTCCTAGAACAGAACTCGTCTTTCTTTAATTAAACCAACTCGCCGGTACCTGGTTGTTTGGTACATTTTCAACCCTTCGTCTAATTCTATGTCGGCATTTGTACCACGTTGCGAAATGGTTGGTTGGCTCTTACATCTATTCATCCTTCATCTACGATGATTACCCTCCTTTCACCTCATTTCGTACTTCCAGCGGTCAGCGAGGATGACATGGTGATTGCTTCACTCGCATGGGGCTTCACGATTGGCTTTGGGTGGCTCACTACCTGGACAGCGGTGAAGCAGACTCTGCACATATATAAGAGACATGGTCGCCATATCTTCCATAATGCCTATGTATGGATGATATGGCTCGAGATTCTAGTTTGTCTCATCTTCAGTGTGCTCTGCTGGTTATACCTGAGGGGTACGATTCCACCAAGGTGAGCTTGAACCAATCCGAGATTACGGAAAAGGAGCCAGTGCTGACCAAATTGTCAGCTTTGCCTTCTATTTCTGCATTGGTATGTCCACTTGGGGCTCTTATTATCTTATCAGAATGCTTATTTTGCGAAGTTACTACATGGGCCCTGCAAGTAAATGGCTCTATGCAACCTTAGGAAACTGATTAATGATGCGAATCTTTTCAGGTCCAATTTCTCCTACAAATCATCATCAATCGTTGTGCAATTCTTCTTGTGGATCGAAGGAATGCAAACCGTCTGAAGGTCGGCGTTGCCATCTTAATCACCGCTATCAATATCTCAGTCTACGCTATTTGGATTCCCGCACGTCTGCAAATCTCCGAAACTTACATCCGGGTAAATGACCGATGGGATCGTTGCGAAAAAGTCATCTACCTTCTTGTGGATGGAGCGCTCAACTTTTATTTCATACGGATTGTTCGATCAAGCCTAGTGTCGGCCGGCTTGGGAAAATACAAAACCCTAGTCCATTTCAATATCGGCATTATTGGATTGTCTCTTGGTATGGATGTCTTGATTATATCCATGATGAGCTTGAATAATACATTTGTGTGAGTAAAGTCCTAAAAAATCAAAAGGAAAACTGCTAATAACACCCTTAGCTATATGCAATTTCATCCTCTTGCCTATATGGTCAAACTCAACATCGAGATGTCAATGGCTGATCTTATTGGGAGAATTGCTAGTGATCGTTCTTCTGTCATCATCTGTAATGATACCTTGGAGTTGGCTGGCGCGGGGGACACACAAGAGGTTAGGTTCGTCTCCCTCTAGCCACAACTCGGTGGATGCACAATACCTGTATTCAAATTATATATTAATCGTATCTAATACAGTTCAAAGAATGCTTACCGTATATTGACTGAGAGCCGAGGCTATATATTTACTGTGTGGGGCAAGTTGGTAGACATCCTTAGAAGTCCTACCAAGTATTGACTACCTGCGGTATGCACAATAGGGCTATATCTATGTATAAAAGGACGTTATGCTGAAATTCTAGCCTTTTTGCCTGTCAATAGCTATCGATAAACATTTTTGATACTATATGTCGGAATTTTTCATGAATAGAAATATATATCTTCGTCACTGCTGTATTAATTTCCCACAATTTCCTCAAGTGATTAGATTTCATATAGAAAGTAATAATCTGTAAGAAAGTATGGAAGAAGGCCTTTTCTGGTTGGTATGAGGCTATAGTACGGATGGCCTCGCGGTGACAAATAAATCGACGAGCAGCGTCTGCGTCTGTGATAGATTAGTGTGTGAAGAAGCTAGGGGCAAACGTGGCTTTAGATACTGCTAGTTGCAACGCTATGATAGGAAATGATTCTTTTTAGATGCTTGTGATATTTAGGGAGCTCCTAAAGCCCTCAAGCATCGGACACGCACTAGCTACATCAAGCAAAAACCAAGGACTAAGGATCTTTACAAGTATCAACCCACCACTCCGGATGCAATATTCGATCGCACACATTATCTCTACAACATTCCTTGCCTTCATTAAAGGGCTTACGATCAAATAGCAATTTGCGGTTGATTGTTGCATTCCCATTCAGAATTTGGACCCTGTACCACTCCGCCAGTCCTAAAGCGTCGGCAATGACTCCATCCTCGGTGTCATGCGCTTTGGAGACTGGTAGCGAGATACACCACCGGAATTGTCGATCCATGGGCTCAGGAGTAAATTCGAACTTCATCTCCCGAATACGTTCAATTATAAGGCAAATCAACGCTCCGTCGGTGCGAAGATAAAAATGGTCCTTGGTAGTAAAGGTTATATTGACCCACATGTTTTCGGGACTCTCATCTACACCTGGGCCGTGGTGGATGGTAATGTAATATGACATTCCGAAGCCCGTAGAATGTTGAGGGGCTTGTATTCTGGTGCCACCTGTACCGATATAATTTTGGTTTGTCAGTGAGCTAGATGCTGGGAACTGAAGCCCAATAAATACGGGACTAGCCGACTATAAAAGAATGTTTCCCCCTAAGACATACTGCTTTGGACTCTTTTGGCGAGAACAAAGGCATTCTATTCTAATCCCATTGTTAGATCTTTCATACGTTTAAATTAGCAGACAAAGACTTGAAATTAATTGCATTTTTCATTTTTTTCTCGCCATTCTATCAGGCCCCGTAGTGTTCTCGGGAGTAGCGTTGGAGGCCATTTCTGGTGATATTGGGTACAACGACAAACAAATGGGCTACAGATGTGCCATCTTTCCCCTCCCATCTGCTTCTTTACCCTTGCTTGGTGTTCTTCTCGAGTTTAGGAGGGCCGCCTTGGGTGAGTTTGTAGCTAGTGCTAGAAAAGTGAAAGGTCAGCAAAAACACATGGAAACAGACAGCGCGGATGGACTGACTACTCCCTCTTCATAGACCTCGGCCTACGATAGTTAGCATGGAACCATAACTAGCAGAAAGACCGATAGACATACGGACGTATCTGATCAACGGAGATACCGGGATACTTATCACCTTCTTTCTTCAAGACAAGTTAGCATAAAGTAAGTTATCCTTAGTGTATAGAATACTCACTAGGTGATACTGGCGTATGTGTCGACGCAGCATTGGAGCCGGGTTTCCAATCTTCGCCGTCTTTTCAGTCTTCCATGAGCAGTAAGGGCACCGCTTTGCACAGTCCGGAATGAACTAAACATGGTACGTGTCAGTCAAATGAACAGAAGCTTCAGACAGTCGAGAGTCTTACAAGAATGGCATGCTCGGCCGGCCATGTAGTTTCGGGGTGCTGTGGGCAGTCGCAGAGCTTCGCGTTGGGGCTGGTATTATGTTAGCCAGTAGTATAAGGTAATGAGCTTGACGTCTTATGGTGATACGTACGCCCATGATGTTGGCTCAGTAGGACGAGAGCTTTTCCAGCAATCGCCGTGTGGCCACGAAGACGGATCTGGCAAAGCAGTCGCCGTACCAGTTTGGGCGTTTGAGGCCTCGGTATCAACCAGCTGACTAGGCTGGGAATTTGGGCAGGAATCGCCCTTTGGGGTCAAGGGCGACTTCATGTCGTCCGTGGGGTTGCGCTCCATTTGGTTTCTACAAGGTCACCATGAAGATCAGTATCTCATGGGTCAGAGGAAGAATGAAAGAAGATAGCTGGCTACTGACCGTGGAGACTGATGGGTGGGGTATGTCGCGTTGCAAAGGTGAAAGTGAGAAACGCGGATTGACGGGTGTGGTGTGTCGCGTTGGAAAGTGAAAGTGAGAAACGTAGGTTCAAGACAAGTTTATCAGATAAATCGCGGTTACCGTTTGCGCCATGCGTCCATATTGTCGGATTATCTCCCATCATTAGTTCCACTTCTCGCAAATTTGGACTACTTGTGCATTCTACCTAACTAAAAGATATGTCTTGTCATAAATTTGGTTCGGGGATACGGGCATTTTCGAAGATTTTGGAGTTACTCATATCTTTCTTGATGAGTAAATACCCAGGTACAGACTCTACCACTGCTATGAGATAGAAGGACAGAGTGAGAAAGCAGAAAGTGACACTCCCAGACCTCAGAAGTGAGAGGAAAAATAGATCATACTCGTATATTAAAGTATGACTACGTACGAAGGGTGAAGAAGAATCACCGAGTAGCAACTACTAGAGAATATATATCTATTACATTTCGATCGTATCCACAATCACATTCAAAATTTTCGCGCGATATTCACTCCTGGTCGGTCGTTGTAATAGTGATCTCTTTCGAAACATTGGAAGTGTGTACCACATGAGAGAGTGCCTGGATTTGCTGCTTGTGTTGAACAGAAATTCGAGTATAGCGCACGATAATCCCAGTTCCCATCAGTGAATAGCAGCCCGTTTTATTTCATCCTATGAAATGCATATGTAGGGTTATAGTAGATCACGTTCAAAAGTGACGTCACCTGATATCGTCGATAAGACCTGATAGTGATCACGTGACTCACCGCCCTCTTTGAGTCAGAGTGAGTCAAAAAGGGAAGGAAAGGAAAAAGAAAAGGCAAAAAAAAAAAAAGATCCCCCGAGCGATTTCCCCCTCTTTATGGGTCATTGTCTAAGCGGGGCTCGGCGATTCACTGCCATTTTTTCTCCGTTGCGTTGCCCCTCTAAACCTTCGACTTTTCCGGTTTTGAGACGCGCATTCGGTACACGAAGATTCTCAATCATGTCCGCAGCTTCTCTTCCTGCCTCTGTTGAGGCTCTGTCGCTCCAATCCACGGCACAGAAGTCTCAATTTGCCGGCTGCTTCCCGACACTGAACCCGATGGATATTTACCGCCAGCACATCGCGGAGGAGTTGGGCAAAGCCGCTGGTATCGATTCTCAGAAGATCTACCCGCGGATTGCCTGGACTAGTACTTTGGACAAGGGTGATCTTTCATTGCCGGTATGTGGCGGCATATCCTGGGCGCAATTCGCATGTTCCGCATGATCATGAGGCCTTGGACTAACAATGTCTTATTGCGTACCGTTAGGTGGCTTCTCTTCAGATCAAGCAAAACCCCGTGGAGCTTGCCAGGGATCTTGTCGCCAAGTTCCCCGCCTCCGACCTTATTCACCCTCCAACTCAGCTTGGTCCTCACATCCAGTTCTTCTGCAAACGTCAGCCATTGACCAACAATGTTCTTGGCCGTATCCTGAAGGAGAAGGCCGCCTATGGAACAAATGGTAATCAGGGTCTGAAGGACCCCTCCGACCCCTCCAAGGGCCAGAAGAAGATCATTATCGAGTTCTCATCGCCCAACATCGCCAAGCCCTTCCACGCCGGTCATCTGCGCAGTACCATCATCGGTGGTTTCCTCGCCAATATCTACACTGTTATGGGATGGAACGTGATCAAAATGAACTACCTGGGTGATTGGGGTAAGCAGTATGGTCTGTTGGCCAACGGCTTCAAGCAGTTTGGCGACGAAGAAGCTCTTATCAAGGATCCTATCAACCACCTATTCGATGTCTATGTCAAGATCAACCGTCAGGTCAGTGACCAGGAGGGACCTATCAAGGAGCTGAAGGAACAAATCAAGGCAAAGAAGGAGAAGAGCGAGGATGTTGCCGAGCTCGAGGCACAGCTTGCCAAGCTTGTGGATGTGAGCGAGGATGAGAAGGCCCGCCGCTACTTTAAGAGTATGGAGGACGGTGACCCGGAGGCCCTCGCTCTCTGGCGCAAGTTCCGCGATCTCAGCATTGAGAAGTACAAGCAGACATACGCTCGTCTCAATATTGACTTCGATGTTTACTCCGGTGAATCTCAGATCAAGTCTGAGAGCATGACCGACGCGTACAAGGTCATGGAGGAGGCTGGTGTTTCCGAGAAGTCCGAGGGTGCTGTTATTGTGGACTTCACCAAGCACGGTGCCAAGAAGCTGGGCAAGGCTATTATTGTCCGCAAGGATGGCACTCCTCTCTACCTGACTCGCGACATCGGTGCCATCACTGAGCGTGATAACGAGTACCACTTTGACAAGATGATCTACGTTGTTGCCGCTCAGCAGGATCTCCACTTGGCTCAGCTCTTCAAGGTCACTGAACTTATGGGCCACAAGGACCTGGCCTCCCGTTGCCAGCACATTAACTTCGGTATGGTCCGTGGTATGAGCACCCGTAAGGGTACCGTCAAATTCTTGGATGACATCCTGCGCGATGTAGGTGACAAGATGCACGAGGTCATGAAGAAGAATGAAGTCAAGTATGCGCAGGTCGAGGATCCTGTGAAGACTGCCGATATTCTGGGTATCACCTCCGTCATGGTGCAAGACATGACTGGCAAGCGGTATGTACAAAGTGTTTTTCTTTCCCGCCTACTCCCGTATATCCGTTTACTAATTGTTCGTTTTCTTTCAGCGTTAACGGCTACGAGTTCAACTTGGATGCCATGACATCCTTCGAGGGTGACACCGGCCCATACCTGCAATACGCTCATGCTCGTCTGTGCTCGATGACCCGCAAGTCCGAGTTGGATGTTAATGAGCTAGTTAACGCCAACTTTGATCTTTTGACCGAGCAGCATGCTGTCGACTTGATCCGCCTGCTGGCCCAATGGCCCGACGTACTCCTCCAGACTGCCAAGACTCTTGAGCCCATCACTGTCCTCAGCTACCTGTTCAAGATGACACACATGTTGAGCTCCAGCTACGATGTGCTCAAGGTGATCGGTAGCGAGCCAGATGTCAAGCAGGCGCGTATGGCGTTGTATGCCTCAGCCCGCCAAGTTCTGAACAACGGCATGCGTGTTCTTGGTCTCAGCCCTGTTCAGCGGTTCGTCTTTCCCACCCTTATTGAAGAAGCAATCACTGACTTATCTGTTCTAGTATGTAAATTCGGCTTATTCGGTCGATTTTGCTCACTTTTCTGTGTGGCGTTTTACTCAGTATTTCTAAGACTGTTGTCTCTGGTATACCTTGATTTTAATTTAGTTGCATTGGGCGCCAAGAGCGGGACGAATAAAAATGGCATCATGCCTCTGCTTTTACCAATATCATTCTCAGATTTCCCCTTTCTTCTCTTCTCTTCTTTCTTTGCTTTTCCGATGCCGTATCATCAAGAAGAAATGTGGGCGAACCCCGACGGGGTCGGGGTTGGGTCTGAAACCCGTCTCCATATTATACCACGCACTCCTACATGGCAGACACGCTATTGTTTGTGAATTTCATCTGGGCTATGATTCTTCCAAGCCCATTGTCCATTAGAGGACGGGTCTCCCTGATCGGGGACTATCGAGATCTTATGTCAGGTTGGGCTTGAGTTCCAAGGTTGAGCCCTATATTCAGCCTTAAATCGGGGACCAACTTGGACATGTAACAAGGATTTCGTCTCGATACTAGACAGGGGCTTGTAAGTCTATGGGTTTGGTTATTCAGATTATGGGTGTATTTAAAATTGTAGAACTTCGGCCCGCGAACCTGGACATGGGTTAGGTTAGATTCCAATTCTCTCGTATCGGCCGTGAATCGTCTACATTATCCTGCAGCACAGGCGATCCCTCACCCTTTTAACGCACCCAGCACCCTGGACCTGGAACGCAATGACACTGGTCACTCCTTGATGAATCAGACCGTTCAAAATTTCTCGTGGCAGGGTTTAACGGTTACCGTCAAGGATCGTGAAACAAAAAGGTCCCGTGATTTGGTATCAAGTGGTGATACGTAACATGGGTTAGATCCTTGTCCATACCCCATATCAGAACTAGCATATTGATGCTAGTTCTACAGGGAAGCTCGTTGCTCTAATGGGCACGTCAGGCTGCGACAAGACAACACCCCTCAACGTGCTTGCTCGACGTATCGCATCAGCCGGTGCGAAGTTTGTCGGGGAGAACTCTGTGAACAGCGCATAAAAGGACTTACGCAATTTTCAGCGGGTGACCTCGTACGGCTATAGAGAGCTACTTCAGTAGCATTGGCTATCCAATCCCTGCGCAAACTAAACCTGCTGAATTTATCTTGGATACTGTCAGTTCTGATTTTTTTTCAGCTTGAAGAAACTGGAGAAGGAACGGGTCGTGGTCATTCAAGCTGCCTAGGCAAACTCAAACGAGACGAAGTCAGCGAATACACTCTGCGGAGGAACATCTTAGAAGAGCCTTTACGAAAGAAAATACTCCACCGGGAATGACTTCGATTACTATAGCTCTGCTGAATCAATCATTTATCAAGTTCTACGGCCATGCCATTGCTTGTGGAATCAGTGTAGCTATGTCTTTATCCATCCTAGGATTATAGCCGTTTATCAACGTCATTGTAGGCTTTACATGTCCTTCGCATTGAAGTCAACCTCACAATCCTCCCCAACGACGGCAGCAGGGTGACAATTTCTGTTCTTTCAACGAAAAGAATGTATTTCAACACAAATACTAAGATAGAGCGTAGAGGAGGGGCAAGGAAGAACGGAGCAAATTTTCGGATGATAGAACTTTCCGTCGTACGATCGGCCAAGTCATAGAATACATGGTCGATAAGCGGGTCCCATACGCATTCTATTCAACGTATATGGGAAACAGCCATGCTTCGATACGTCTGGGCTAACGGAATGTTGGTGAGTGCTCGATAACCCACCCTCCGTCAGCCCAGACGTATCGAAGAACGATTGTTCCGTATAAGTTGAATGGAACCCATATAGAGCCTGCTTGATTAGCATGGACCCCACGACTTGGCCGATCATATGACGGAAAGTTCTATCATCCGAACATTGGCTTCCTGTCCGCAATTCCAGAGGTGAAGATCAGGACAAGTAAAGAAAATCCAAAGTAGAATGGTAGAGGATGGCAGACTAGGGAAACCTAGTAAAAGAGTGCCAAATGTGGAATCAATGGAAAGGAAATGAGGTTCAAAAGTGTTAGAGAGGAATAGCGAGGTGAAAGAGAAAGAGATGAGAGAAATGCTGGCATTTATAGACACGTTCACGCTTCTAAACTTGACTAGTTACTTCTGAGCGATGCCTGATATATTCTAGATGATTGCTATGGTATTGAAGCACTGCCGTTACCCGCACAATTTGATGAACAGCTTCGGCAAGGACGCAGAGTGGGCAGGGGTCGCTCAATAAACTTGACTCTTGGAAGAATGTAATTCACTTGTGTCATGAGTGTCAAATCAGAAAATAAAAAACAAGCATAGAAAAGAACATGATCTCAAGAGTTCATTTCAACGCGTTTGTCAAATGCTAGCAAACGGGCAAATTGGTGTGACACTATTGGTCTCAAGCTTTCTCATTGGATATTTCTCATTAGACTTCCCTACCTCTGTACGTGCCCGTTACTTTCCTGTCACATACAGCAGGAGCCTTCTTGGCTTGGATGATGTGGATATTCCTCCTTGTGGCAGCTGGATCCCTAGTGGTCCTCATAACATCGATATTCCCAACCTTTGTAATCCCCTTGGCACCTGTCACATCCAAATAGCCTTTGGAGTGTCGGAGGGTTTATGGTCATGCAGAAGTTTCCGTTTTGGAAATATGTGTTTTACTGCATCGATTACCAGGTATCCTGATGCACTTCTTTCAGAAGCTTATTTTGTTGTCAGGATAATCACTCATTCGCTTGGGATCTGAAATAGGTTTATGTACTCCATGGTATGATGGTCAATGAGCTTTCTGAGCGAAATTACTTATAGTGCCGATTGTCGATGTATACGGTTTACTAACCTAGAGGATCAGTGTCTTATTTGGGGCACTGAAGTGATATAATCGTATGATTTAGGAGGCCGAACAAATCGAGCAGCCTTGGAGATACTCTGTGTTTGACTACGCTATGGGTACTGTCAATATCAATTAGTTTGAGTGGACGCAATTGACAGAAGATGGATTTGCTTCCACCTGGACAAGGTTCGGAAACTTCATCCGGAATGGCAGCCACCAATCTCCCGAGAACCTAAAGAGGTCCCCAATCGAGCAAGCTGTTGTATATTCCGTAGCACCTTGATAGTACGCCGGGCTTGAAGTATAGCCACGGGGACACTTGACTCACATGGCAGCTGGCTTTCGTATCACATCAGATAATGCTGCTTACATCGCGTGCCGAAGCCTAAGTCGTCATGAAAAAAGCCTATCTGGAGCTGACGAATCATGTCATCTACAACAGAAAACGGGGTGATGCGCAACACAATATGCAAGTCATGTACTCCGTATACCGATGTACTACTATGTACAAGAACCTTCTATAATGTTTCTGAAGCCGCGATAGAAGTCTCGCGAACCGACAAAGGAATAGAGTTAGACTGAGACTGATTTCCCCTCATCTTCATCGTCGAAGCACCGTTTATCAGTAATCATGAAAGAGCGGTGAAGATTTCGACTTCGGGGAGCTGATGCCATCTCGCAGAACGAAGCAAGGGGGTGGCTCCCTTGACCATGTTTGAGTTCCCCTAGGTGAGTCAATGAATCACTGGCGGCAGATGTCAACGTGATCACACCATGAAGTGATATGCGAGGAAAGCTTGTTCGCTGTTTTTCCATGTCCAAGTATTCAGATATTTCTTGTTGCGCACAGCATGTTCTTAGTACTCCAGGTCCCGATGCGAGGGTCTATATTGGTGAAGACAAAACTGGAGCCGCATGGAGATCCTGAGTTATATCTGGAGCGGAGCCCTTTTCCTGGTTTGATCTTTCAGCCGCTTAAGCTGAAGATATCCACTCCGGCCTAAGAGGATTTTGATCAGCCCGGAATACATGACTAGGGTCCAGGATATATTGGATGCTATCGGCTACGTATAGTTTAAATTGGTTGTTGTGAGCTCTAACCTTGTAGTGTTTTCATTCCCACACGTGCGGAGTAAACATTCCTCAACCCTCTTAATCTAAGATGCAAGGGTGAATCCGTAAGGGCAATGATAGACCGTCCGTGCTGCATGTCATACCGATCTGGCCAGTTCTGCCTAGTGAGAGAAGGTTTCGGCCAATTATTTCATCACTGGGTCGATATAGTGCACCATGTATAGAGTACTTCAAAACTTTAGTCCATATCGTTGAACCGATAGCAGATTTCCATGGGTTTCCCACCAGTGTGCGTCATGAATAAGAAGTATGCAGGCGGAGAAGAGCCAACGCCCAAAGATATCCTGCCACATGGAGGGGCTCTGACTACATACTAATGCCATGCAGCGCTCGTCCCTCTTGTGCTTGACATCTGTGGTTTCTATGGTAGAAGTAAATTGAGTCATTGCACGGTGGCGATGGTATCAGGACACATACAGGTGTCTGCCTACAGTCTACCTAACAAGAGAGAATATGGAGTAGCCGTAGTTACCTAGTGGTGAGCCGGCTTGCAGTGTCATCCCCGCCGACATTTCCCCGTGTACCGGATACATTGGCATTGTATTTGAGGCCTGCATTGACCAATGCACAGAAAAGGAAATCAAACAACAACAATCGGAGCGAAGGAGAATCTAGATTTTCCGAGAACCGAGCCATAGCCGACAGGAACAGGATCCTTTTGGATTGACATGGAAAACCCTTCACGGCGGAGGCGATCATTGGGCCGCAACGCCGGTTGGGCGTTGGATGTGGGATGCAATTAGGGAGAAATAGGAATGAGGAATGCGACACACGAAAATGCAGAACACGGGATGGGAAAAGAAAAGGGAAGGAAGGAAATAAAGTAAATAAAGTAAATAAAGATAAGAAAAGTCAAGGGACAGGTCAACCATGGATCCCCAGCAGTCAAACCAAGGATTTCCCCTCCAGCGGGTCCCGAGCTTAAAAGCACAAACAATAAAGAATTAGAATCCATGGATCGGAAACAACATATTCTATTTAAGTATTGTACAAGATACAATATACAATGTATACAATATAGTAATTATTCTAATTATTCTCGGCTCCAAATACATGTAAATAGATAAATACAAATGCAAATATAAATATAAAACACTGATGACGCTATCCCCCACTTTCTTCTTTTTTTTCTTTTGTGTTGGGTACCGAGAGCCTCTTCATGAAACTTTTTTTTGTCTTTTTTTTTTTTCTAATCCTGTGTGGTCCTGTACCTGTACCTTCGGGTTATTCCTCTTCCTGCTCGTTCTCTTTATGGTCTCTATACTCCTCTGAGTCCTCTCCTTTTCTAAATATCTTTCCCTCTCTCCGTCCTTCTTTCCCCTTGAGATCTCAATCAAATCACCCCTCACTTCGTTGTTATTTCATCGCTGCCCATCGACTCCACTCTCCCCACTGGGTTCTAAGACCGTCAGGCAGAGGATCCTAAATTCTCAACCCAACCTCTGCAGCTGCAGTTCCTTCAACCACTCATCGGCTGCCAGAGAGGTCATTTTCTATTTTCCTCCTTCTTCCTTTGACCCAACGCGTCCGCCCAACTCTTAGCCTTACATCCCACTTCGATGGAGACGTTGCGATTTGAAAAGTACCATCTTGCTCCCTCCGCTTGACAGAACCCGTCGCCCGTCGCCTGCCATCGCCCGCTGCGATCGGCAGGTCCGCTTACTTGTTTGAGTGGCCCACTTGGGTTGGGCACTGGGGAGAAGAGAAAGGGAAGAAAAAACGGATCCATTTGGTCAGATCTACGGGGTCGAGAGGGGGGGAAGAACAATATACATTCTGACTCATCGTCAAAGGAGCAGTGGCTTGCTGTAAGTTGAATATCGCTGGAGCCCTGTGGGAGCCACCCACGTCGCCCTTGTCGGAAACGGGACCAACCCTGTTTTTTTATTTTTTTTTTCGCTAGACACCCGATCGCCTTGCAGCCCACATAATGGCCGGTAACGGCCCCCGGCCTGCCTGCGTCGAAGATTACGACGAAGAACAACAACACACCCTACCCGACACCAGACTTTCGGCCATTATTGCTGCCAATACAGCTGCCAAATTATCCTCCAGGTTGGAAAGATTCCAGGAGCCGCTGATCGACGGTGCCAGTGACTCAGGTTATTCTAGTCGCACCGCCGCTACGGTTAATAGCACCCAATCTGCGCCGTCGGGCGGAAAAAGCCCCCCGATCCCTCTTAAGCTGGACACTTCCAAGCGTAACGACCTCGCCAGGAAAAGTTCAACCAGAGAACGCAAGGACAAAGAACGATCTCGACCCCCGCGCGAAGAGATGATGGTTGGTGCCTATCCGGGCGCTGCCCATCACGCTCACGTGCCCCGGTCGTCGTCCAAGTCTCGTCGACGAGAATCTGCCCATATCCAATATCACGACAACTATTACGACTACGGTACTCAGTACCATCAATCAACCCCGATTGACCACCGACAGAACGACTACTCCTACTACGCCCAGCCACGCCCACCCATCCCAGAATACTCATCGTCCCCGCACAATCCTCGTTATGCCCCCGGCGCCATAGAGAACATTCATGTCAGTCACCCTGGTCGACCCAGCCGCTCCAATTCGTATCACACCTATAATTCCAACGGACGACCCATGAGTTTCCACGGTATGCCACATGGAATGGGTTCTGGAATGGCATCTCCGATGTACTCTCAGCACGGATACGATCATGGCCCTCCACCAGCCAGCTCGGCATACATGCAACCATACTCGTCATCTCCATACACGCAATCTTCTTACTATGCCCCATCGGCCTCGGACTACCTCCCATCGGAGTATCCACGAGAGCGGTCCCTGTCCCGGGAACCATCACGCCGTCGGTCCTCATCGATCTATACTGCCCCCAACCCACCCATGGACTCTGGGGCGTATTCGCCATGGTTTGATGAAGATCCACCCACGGACCACTATTCCTCGCGAGATGTTGTCCGTGACCGTCCTCCCCCAAGACAACAGGAACAGGATGAAGACTACTATCGGATGCCACCGCCAGGAGCTAAGCCCAAGCCCAGGCCACAGATCCACCAGGCGAAGCGACCAGAGCGGCCAGACCTACCGCGGAAGATGCATACCTCTTCGGGTATTGTCCCATCTCAACGTCTCACATCCAGGGGCATAGATAGAGAACGAGGCATCGACAGGGACAGAGGCATCGACAGGGACAGAGGCATTGACAGAGAGCGAGGCATCGACAGAGAGCGAGGCATCGACAGAGAGCGAGGCATCGACAGAGAGCGAGGCATCGACAGAGAGCGAGGCATCGACAGAGAGCGAGGC